GGGGGTCCGGGGGTGAAACCCCTACCCCGGCTTGGGCCCCAGGGATCCCCGCGTGACAACCGTGAGTTTAACACGCAAACTGTTAAGAATACAGACCTGCTCCCGCGCATCAACGATCTTCTCGAACGTTTGGGCGGCGCCACGTACTTCTCGAAGCTGGACCTCAAATCCGGTTATCACCAGATCTTGAGATTCATCTGCGAGATCTGTACAAGACCACGTTCAAGATACGGGTATGGGCACTTTGAGTGGGTCGTATTGCCGTTCGTCCCCGAATGGCCCGACTACTTTCCAAGCGGCAATGACGACGGAGTTTCGTGACATGTAGGACCGGTTTGTGCTCATCTACCTCGACAACATCTTGGTTTATAGCCGGACCAAGGACGAGCACCTTGCACATCTACGCAACGTTTTGGAAAGGCTATGTAAGGCCAAGTACAAGGCCAACCGAACCAAGTGTGAGTTCGCCCAACAAGAGCTCAAATACTCGGGTCACTTTGGGATGCCATAAGGCATCCGCCCGCTTACGGACAAAATTCAGGCCATCCAAAATTGGTCGGAACCCACCAAAACCACGGAGGTTCGCTCCTTCATGGGATTGGATGGGTACTATCAACGCTTCATCGGCGGATACACACGAACTGTCGCACCTTTGTCACGACTTCAGTCTCCGAAGGTGCCTTTCCACTTCACCGACAAAGTCCGGAGTTCGTTCCACAAGCTTAAGACGACGATGCTCATGGCTCCCGTTTCGAGCATCTACGACCCCACATTGCCTACCAGAGTGACTACAGACGCTTCTAGCGACAACATTGCTGCAGTCTTGGAACAACACAACGACGTAGATTAGCACACGGACGAATACTTAAATTAGCCAGAAGGTGTCGCCCATCGACTCGGTTGATGATGCAAGGAAGGAGTTGTTGGCCTTCGTCACAGTACTAAAACGCTGGCGACACTTCCTCCTCAAGCATCGTAGATTCACTTGGGTAATGGACAACAACCCATTGACATTACACCTACTACAAGACACAAGACACAGTGAGTAGCACGATCGGAAGATGGATGTAATTCATCGACAAATTCGACTTGACACCGAAGCATATCTTGGGTCTTTCCAATTAAGCGGCGGATGCTCTTTTGTGAAGAGCTGAGCTTTGCGCATTGATCCACCAAGCCTTCAACTTTGACGAAGACCTACATCAACATTCTGTACACGCATACAAGACAGATCCGGACTACGCCAGTCTCTATGAGCAGCTTTCTTCGGACCACCCCAGCTAGCCACCACCGCATTGTCGACGGGTACTTGCTTCTCCATTCATGAGGCAAGGACTTGCTATGCATCCCACAAGACCGTCGATTACGGAGTCGCCTTCTTGGTGAGTACCATGATTCGCGGCTCGCAAGACACTCCGGAGTCAACCGGATGATTATTCGACTTCACCGACGATTCCGATGGTCCTACATCATCACCAACGTCACACGGTATTGCAAATCTTGCGAGGTTTGTCGACGCAACAAGCCCCGCAACCGCAACCCGTATGGTGAGTTGCGCCCGTTACCAATCCCTCGCGAACCTGGTCTATTGCCATGGACGTCACCGGACCCTTCCCATGAGATCGCCTCGAGCACGACGATATCCTTACAGTCGTTGACTAACTGAGTAAACATGCATGGTTTCTTCCTTGCAAGTATCATGCGATGGCTCCCGGGCTCGCAAGACTCTTGCACACCGTCTGTAATTGCAGCCACAGCGTTCCAGAAGACATCGTTAGCGGCCATGATACTCGATTCATGTCGGTATTTTGGACATCCCTCATGAAGGAATCCGGCACTGAAATGAAA